AAGAGAACAAAATGGTGATAATTTGGACAATGTGATGCATGAAGATTTGTGTGATGAAAAAAAAGATAACATTCCTCCGTATGTTGGGATGGTGTTCGAATCCGCCGATAAAATGATAACCGATAAAATGATTTATCATTGTCATGAGTATGGGCATTATGTTGGATTTCAATAAGAATTAGAAGCTCTAAGAAAATAGTAAAATCGGAAATTATGACTCCTGATTATGTCATTGAACGAAATCGACATATATAAGACTATGGTGATTGTAAGAGATTAAGGTTAAATTGTACAAAAGAGGGCAAGTTTAAATCAAAGTCAAATAATCCTCAACGAGCAACTAAATCTACAGTTACGGGATGTCAAGGTAAATGCATTACTTTGTTCTTATCGTTTATGGAAGTTAACTAAAGCTCTCTTGGAGCATAATCATCCACGCAATCCAAATAATTCCAAATTTATGAGAAATTTTAAATTTATTAGTGAGCAAAATAAGAATGAACGATTTTGGAAAATGATACGGCCGTTGGTGTTCTTATTGCTAAGAACTATAATTCATTTGTCGTGAAGTATGGTGGTCACAACAATGTTCCTTTTAATGAGAGGGATTGTCGTAATTTGATAAGTAAGATAAGAAGATTAAGTTTACAACATGGAGACTTTATTGCGATGAGGAGACATTTCTCCGAAATGATATCAAGCAATTCGAGTTTTTCTTACATGTATGACACTGATGAGAGTGGTTCATTGAAAAATGTCTTTTTGGACGGATGGTAGGAGTAGAGCGGCATACTAAGATTTTGGAGATGTTGTGTCATTTGATACTACTTATGTCTCAAATAGATATAAGATGCCATTTGCTCCATTCATTGGAGTGAATAATCATGGTCAATCGATCCTTTTTGGTTGTGCATTGTTGGCCGGAGAAGCGACTTATAACTTTGTGTGGTTATTTAATGCGTGGATGACATGCATGTCGGGAAAGCTCCTAAGGCCATCCTAACCGATCAATGTCAAGCAATGGGTTAGTATTTCTAATATATTATATTCCATAATAATTTGTGAGTTCTCTACTTTTTTTTGTGGACGGTTAGACATCATTACTAAAATTATATGAACGTATAAAATGTAGGATAAAAGCTCAATCATATTAACTTATTTTAGAAAAATTATAAATGCTTCATTAATATTGGAAAGAAAAAAAAAAAAAGAAGAAGATAACTACAACTACTAACCACAAATTGAACATATCTGTATCAAGCCTTGTTACTGTATGCATTAATCTTATATCTTGTGAATTATAGATTGTTTATTTTTTTTATTTTCTTATTTTTTTGAAATTTAGTGGACCTAATTTTGAGATTTTATTAAGATATATCATATATATTAAAAAATTAAATAAAAAATAAACTTTTCATATTGAATTTCTTTATCAGGAGAGGTGATGGACTTAGTAAAATAGATAATGAGTGACAAATTTAACTTTTATGTACTTTGTATCTTTTTCCGCCAAATTTTATTACTTTTTTTTTTTTTAATAAATCTTGATAATTTTTCAATTTTTTTTAACGTATTATATTATAAATTTAACTCGATCTGTTACTAACCCGACCCGAAATCAACACGACTTGTTATTGACCCGACCCAAATTCAACCCAAATTATTCCTGACCCATTTCAAACTCAACCTAACCTGTTATTGACCCGATCCGATTTCAAATCACTTAAATTCAATTTAGACCACCTTATTAATATATAGTTATATAGTTACGTTGTCACTTGTGTAGTTGTGTGCTTGTGCAAACGAGTTAATATGATAAGTTCAATAGTCAATAGTTCAATACATATGACTCCTTACATAGACTAATTATAGCTATTTGCTCATTTCTAATTGTTAGAATATATTTAGTATAAATATTCTCTAATTATTGTATATATCTTTATTATTGTAGATATTAATTAGCTAAATAAAGATACATACAATAATTAGAGAATATATGCTAAATATGGTCTAAACCTATTTTATCCGAATTTATATGAACTTATTGTATTTTATCTAAACTTATTTGAACATGTCATCTCGAATATGAACTAATCTGAAATTGTTATCCCTAAAATGAGTGGAAACAAAGTGAATAGATCAGAATAAGGTTTGAACTTATCTTCTAAAAATCTAAACTAAACCTATCTTACTGGAATTAATAATTAATATGAACTTATTATATATATCTTATCTAAACTTATTTGAACTTATTAACTCGAATATAAACTAATCTGAATTGTTTCCTAAAATAAGTGGAACCAGTGAAAAATAAATCAGAATAGGGTCTGACCATGTCTTCCAAAAATCTTAACATAACTTATCTTATCGGAATTAATATGAACTTATTATATCTTATCTTAAATTTACATGATCTCGTTAGTTCGAATTTGAATTTATATGAAATTATTTATCCTAAAATAAGTGAAAAACTGTAATAAATTAAGAAATTGATAATGATTAAACGTAAACATCAAAACATGAACTGTTAACAAACCGACCAGAAAAATGTACCCGAAACCGATATGACCCGACCTGAAATCAACCCGAGACCCAAATTAACCCAATATTTGAAACCCGAACCCGAACATGACCAGACTTGGAAATCACCCGACTTGATTATAACCCGCAAATTATTGACTTGAATTGAACCTGACTCGACTCGAGAATGACCCTAATTCATTTTAACCCGAATTAAACCCGACCTATTATTGACCCGACTTAAACCCAACCCAAACCCGATAAGATGTATGACCCGACGTGACCCGACTCAAGCAAGACCCAACCCGAACCCTACCCACATAAGTTACGATATTAACCCGAATTGACCTGACCCGACCTAGACTAACCTGACTCAAACCCGATCCGTTTACTCGAATTGACACCTCTATATATGAGTAATTAGTTAGTAATTACCCGAACTTAATGGTATATAGTTCTATTGCTACAAAACAAATGGAAGATCGATTCATCTCCCACTTACAAAACCTGTTACACGACGTCACGACATGCATCGATTTGGGGAGTAGTTTGTGGAGTGGTTAAATCTGGTATACTTGCATTATATGGTCATTTTCTTTCTCTGATTTGTTATTTCCTCTTGTTTATCATAGCCATGCTCAGCACTAAAATTTCATGCTCTCTTCTATTTTTTGAGTCTAAATTGATTATTGAATCAAATTGCTAGGATTAATGTGTTGAAAATCTTTTTTTTTTTTTTTTCTTTATTTTATTTCTATTAAAATTTGTCCTATTAATATGATATTTGTATGGAAAAATTTATGTGATAGCACATGTATAACTGATTAGTATGAATGTTTGAGTTGGAGTATATGGGTTTTTTTGTAGGTACAAATGGTTAAGCGGAAGATGATAAACCACTGGTGGTTTGCTTTGGGGAAATGCTGATAGATTTTGTGCCCACAACTGCCAGGGTGTCGCTAGCTGAAACGCCCGCATTTGCTAAAGCTGCTGGTGGTGCCCTTGCTAATGTTGCTGTTGGAGTATCGCGATTAAGAGGTAAATGTTTGTAATTCGAGCTAAAATCTGAATTAAGATACTGATATTGTACAAGAAAGTCAGCTATCAGCGAAAATTCTAATCAAAAGCTATAGCTTGTGCACCGTATCGCCTTATATTTTAGTCCTTTACACAGCTTTGAAGCGTTAATTGCACGGAGCAAAAGCTATAGCTTGTGCACCGTATCACCTTATATTTTAGTTCTTCACACAACTTTGAAGCGTTAATTGCATAAGCATTCTGATAACTTTACTGAGTTGTTATTTAGCATCAGATAATTTGTATAGCTTATCTTCTAATTTCTAAAATGACATCTAAATTATAGGTTCACTTGCAGGATGACCTAGGAGCATTTCATGGCATTCAAGCAACATAAGTAGAAAACCAATACTGGTAAAAGTTGACCAACGACATGGGATACAAGCATTGCTCCAATGGGCACTAGAGGCTGTTAAGGTTGAAGCTTGAAGGCCACTAGACAAAGGATTCAAAGGGTAAAGTCCCTGCTACTCATTTTGGCAATAGAGTGGTCTTGACTTTTTGACGACGGAGACTAGAGAAATAATGTCAACTGCCTATTCCATTGGCAGCGAATGCTCCGGAGAAAAAGCAAACCCAACCCCTGACCTTTATAGCAAGGAATTATATATATTTGGAAGTTTGATAATTAATGTTGGAATAAAGAAAGGAAATTCAAAGTAGTCTAATACGGGCGCCCGACCAGGCAAGCACCGCCCGATTGGGCGCGAGAGGAATTGAAAAATCTGGAGTTCTGTCGCCCAATTGGGCGCTAGAGCAACCCAGATTTTGACTGGGTGCTCGACCAGGCAAGCTCCGCCCGTCCAGGAACGAGAGGACGTTTGGGAAAAGAGGAGTGTCCGCCCGACCGGGCGCGAGAGCAACCTAAATTTTGTCTCGGTGCTCGTCCGACCAGGCAAGCTCCGTCGACCAGGCGCGAACTCATTAGTTGGACTCCAACGACTTCCTTGAATTCTTCTTCTTGTTTGATTTCTTGTAACCTCCCATTTAAGAGATTGTTTATAGTGATTAATTCACTATGTTTATTCTGATTTTGTTCCTCCATTGATGATAATATTCCTCTATGATCTTCTATCTTCCTCCATCCATCATTATAAATCGAAGGATGATTTTTTCTGATTTGACACTTGGAAAAATATCAAACACAAGCTAAACACCTTTGTTCTTTGGGCATAAGTTTTCACAGTCTCCACCTCTTACTCTAAAGTGTCTTAGTGTTAGAGTGGTGTGTAACCTTAGGGGACGATCCGGTGATTACAATTGTGCACCCCGGTTGCGCCGAAATTCGTTTTCAAAGGTAGTGATTCATCACGCCACACCGAATTTCCTCTTTTGCTTTTGTTCTTATTTATTTCTGTTAACTTTTGTTTAGACACCATTTTACAACAATTTTGAAAACGAATATGTCTATTGCAAATACTATTATGAACAAGACTCTTCCCGACCTCTCTAAGTTGGAACCTATTGATGGTAAAAACTATAAGAGATGGTCACAAAAGTTACTAATCTTCTTTTAACAATTGGAAGTAGATTATGTTTTAAATGAAGACGTTATTGAGACTCTCAAGAATGCGGAAGAAGCTGCTAAAACTTCTACAACCGCAATTCCAGCGGCCACAACGGAAGCCTTGAAGAAGAAGGAGAAGGACAACAAGCTTGTTCGTGGCCATCTCCTCAACCACATGAACAACACTTTGTTTGATTTGTTTGTCAATTTCAGGTCAAGCAAGGTTATATGGGATTCTTTGGAAAAGAAATATGGAGCAGATGATGCCGGGAAAAAGAAGTACGTGGTGGGCAAGTGGATCAATTTCAAAGTGGATGATGAGAAGCCTATCATGACTCAAGTCCATGACTATGAGAATATGGTGACCGAAATCCTTGGTGAAGGCATGAAGATGTGTGAGACTCTTCAAGCCAATGTCCTCTTGGAGAAATTCCCTCCCTCTTGGAATGACTACAGTAATTCTTTGAAGCACAAGAAGAAGGACATGACCCTCCAAGAACTCATTAGTCACATGAGAACCGAAGGCTAATCGCCTTAAGGATAAGTTTGAAAATTTATCTCTTAATTCTTCTAAAGCTAATCTTGTTGAGTCTTCTTTGAATGTGTCTAAAAACAGGAAAAACTCCAAGAAGAAGGGAAACAACAAGTCCAAAAGCAACTTCACTCATAACAACAAAATCCAAAAGCCTAAGAGGGCATGCTATGTGTGTGGAATCATAGGACACAAAGCATACCAATGCAACCGAAGGCATGAAGCTAAGAAAGATGGCACTACCTTCCAAGCTAACATTGTTGAAAAAGAAGACATCATAGCAGCGGTGGTGGTTGAAGCCAACTTGGTGAAAAACAAAATTGAGTGGATTTTGGACACCGGAGCATCAAGGCATTTCTGTGCAAACAAGGCTTTGATGACCGAGTTTGAAGATGTAACCAACGGCGATCATGGCTACATGGGTAATAGTAGCACCGCCGGAGTCCTTGGCAAAGGAAAGGTCCATCTCAAACTTACCTCCACAAAAACTTTATTTTTAAATAATGTGTTGTATGTACCTTTTCTTAGGAGAAATCTTGTTTCAGGAGCCCTTCTCAACAAAGCCGGCCTAAAATTTGTCTTTGAGGCCGACAAGATTGTAATGACTAAGAATGGAGACTTTGTTGGGAAAGGTTACCTCAATAATGGCTTGTTTGTTTTGAATGTTATGAATGAGAATGGAAGTACTTCTTTTGCTTATATTGTTTAGTCTTTGGATGTTTGGCACAATCGTTTGGGTCACTTAAATTCTTCTTATTTAAAAAGGTTAAAGGACATGAATTTGATATATTTTTCAATGGATGACAAACTTGACAAATGCCAAATTTGTGTTGAAGCCAAACATACTAAGAAACCATTTAAGCAAGTGGTCTCAAGAAGTACAAAATTACTTGAATTGATTCATTCGGATTTAGAGGACTTTAAGAAGTGCACTAGTAGGGGTGGAAAAAACTATTATATTACTTTTGTTGATGACTTTTCTCGTTATACCAAAGTTTATTTGCTTAAAACAAAAGATGAAGCCGAAAATGCGTTTTTAAAGTACAAAGCCGGAGTTGAAAATCAATTGGACCTAAAAATTAAAAGAGTTAGAACCGATAGAGGTGGTGAATATGGTAAAGATTCTTTAAAAGATTTTTGTGAGGCCAATGGCATCATACATGAAATAAGTCCACCTTACATACCCCAATCTAATGGTATTGCCGAAAGGAAAAATAAATCTTTGAAAGAGACTACGAATGCCATGCTTCTTAGTTCCGGTTTATCCTATAACTTGTGGGGAGAGGCAGTTCTTTCCTCTTGTTATGTACTCAATAGAGTGCCCCATAAAAAATTGGACAAAACCCCCTATGAACTTGGGAAGGGATATAGTCCAAATTTTAAAATTTTGAAAGTGTGGGGGTGTTTGGCTAAGGTGGCTTTTCCAAATTTTAAAAAATCCACCATCGGGTCTAAAACTTTTGATTGTGTGTTCATTGAATATGCTCATAATAGTGCAGCTTATAGGTTCATGTTATTAAGTGATAGAACAATTTGTGAAGCTAGAGATGCGGTATTTTTTGAGCATATTTTTCCTATGAACAAGTCTTTGTCCCCTAATGTTGATGTGCATGCTAGTAAGTCAAATATGGATGTGCCTTTTGTTGATTCTATGCCTAGTTATAGTCTCCCCTCCTCCTCTACAAAAGTGGCAGATGTTGTACCTAGGAGAAGTAAGAGACCTAGAGTAGAGTCTTCCTTTGGACTGGATTTCTTGACTTCTTTTGTGGTAGAAGACTTTGATGTGGATTCTTTAAGTGAGCATGCTGTGTATTTGTTTCTCTTAGAGGAAGACCCTAAGACTTATGATGAGGCAATGAGGTCCATAGATGCTAGTTTTTGGAAAGAGGCAATTAAGAGTGAACTTGATTCTATCATGTCCAATCACACTTGGGATCTTTGTGACTTGCCCAAGGGTTCTAAACCTATAAGTTGTAAGTGGATTTTCAAGAAGAAACTTAGACCGGATGGGACCATAGAAAAGTTCAACGCTATACTTGTCATGAGAGGTTTCACCAAAAAAGAAGGTATAGATTTCTTTGACACCTACTCTCCCGTGACTAAGATTGCCACCATTAGAACCATGGTAGCCCTTGCGGCAATTCATGACTTAGTGGTTCACCATATGGATGTCAAAACAGCTTTTCTTAATGGAGATCTTGATGAAGAGATTTATATGACCCAACCGGAAGGTTTTGTGGTGAAAGGGAAAGAACACAAAGTGTGTAATCTTAGAAAGTCTCTTTATGGTCTTAAGCAAGCTCCTAAGCAATGGTTTGAAAAGTTTGGTAGTACTCTTAAGAGTTGTGGCTATGTTGCTAATTCATCGGGTTCATGCTTGTATTCTAAAGAGTTTCACAAGAGCTCTATGCAAGGGTAATTGGTAGTGTTATGTTCTTGATGAATTGCACACGACCTGACATTGCCTATGCAGTAAGTAGACTTAGTAGATATACTCACAATCCAAGTCAAGATCATTCGGTACCTCTTCGTCGGCTACTAAGGTATCTCAAAGGTACTATGGAGGTATGCTTGCATTTTAATCGCTTTCCTAATGTATTAAAAGGCTATTGTGATGCTAATTGGGTAACCGATAATGATGAAGTTGTCTCTACTAGTGGGTTTGTTTTTGTTTCGGCTGGAGGTGCTATTTCATGGGAGTCCTCAAAACAACCATGTTTAGCTCGCTCCACCATGGAATCCAAATTCATTGCTCTTGAGTTGGCAGGTCATGAAGTTGAGTGGCTTAGGAATCTCCTAGCTAACATACCATCGTGGGGGAAGTCTTCATCTCTTGTGTCTGTACATTGTGACTCTCAAGCGACCATTAAAGTTTCCAAAAACAACAACTACAACGGCAAAAAGAGACATATGCGTATGAGACACAAAGTTGTGAGGTAATTTCTCAAGAATGGATTTATTGCATTGGGTTATGTAAGGTCCGAAAAGAACTTGGCGGATTCTTTGACGAAAGGGTTAGCAAGAAAACAAGTTGAAGAATCATCGAGGGGAATAGGACTCAAGGCCATGTGATACATTACATTTGTCCTAGTTCCTATGGTGATAATGTTTGTAATGATTGTTTGTTTGTGAGGTAGAGTTGTTTAACTCTTAATGGGTCCTTGTGCTATTTAGACGCACGATTAAAGGACTCACCTATGTGGTTTGAAGACTAGCCATCTTCTATGAAAACTTTGGCTGGATTTCTAGAGCTTCCACTAGACCTAAGGTGAATATGCTTGGCTATAAAAGAGCATATCTCTTCGCGGAGTCTGCGTAAATTTTGGAGTGATGTATGTGTTGTGGGGGTCTTGAGTTAAGTCTTGGAGTTTCAAGGTTAGTCCACTCCATGATCAAGAGTCTAAGGGTTTCAAGGTAATATCCACCCTTGCACTTGTAGCTCATTGCCTCATTTCACTAAGCACTAAGATTTCAAATTACTTATGTAATATCTACGTGTTATGTATTAAACTCCTCTTATGCCCAATATGTTGATTATTCTCATCTTTTGTTGTCTTTTCTTCCTTTCCTTTAGTGGGAAATTGTTGGAATAAAGAAAGGAAATTCAAAGTAGTCTGATATGGGCTATCGATCGGGCGCGAGAGGAATCAAAAAATCTGGAGTTCCGTCGCCCGATCGGGCACGAGAGCAACCCAGATTTTGATTGGGTGCTCGCTCGACAGGGCAAGCTCCGCCCGTCAGGGCGCGAGAGGACGTCTGGGAAAAGAGGAGTGTCCGCCCGACCGAGCGCGAGAGCAACCCAAATTTTGTTTGGGTACTCGCCCGACCGGGCGCGAACTCGTCTGTTAGACTCCAACGACTTCCTTGGATTCTTCTTCTTGTTTGATTTCTTGTAACCCTGCATTTAAGAGGTTGTTTATGGTGATTAATTCACTATGTTTATTCTGATTTTGTTCCTCCATTGATGATAATATTCCTCTATGATCTTCTATCTTCCTCCACCCATCATTATTGATTTGACACTTGAAAAAATATCAAACACAAGCTAAACACCTTTGTTCTTTGGGCATAAGTTTTCATAGTCTCCACCTCTTACTCTAAAGTGCCTTAGTGTGAGAGTGGTGTGTAACCTTAGGGGACGATCCGGCGATTACAATTGTGCACCCCGGTTGCGCCGAAATTCGTTTTCAAAGGCAGTGATTCATCACGCCACACCGAATTTCCTCTTTTGCTTTTGTTCTTGTTTATTTCTGTTAACTTTAGTTTTAGACACCATTTACAATGATTAATAATAGAAAAACTTGTTTTGGAGTTTGAGGTTATCATATAACTGTTTTGTTGTTCCACTAAACGATTGCCTTTGGGTTCCGAAAATCCGAACTCCATATGGGGAAGGAATGTTGTTGTTTGCCGGGTCTCGATCATTTACACGTCCATTCCATTTGTGGGAATTTGATGATCTATAAACCATCCTTGACTTGAAACTTATCCTAGTACAGCTAACGTGGTCTTTAAAAAGTAACTACCACAATTGTTTTTAAGAGTTATCTCTAGAGTTGATGATGTAACACTTTTAGAACTTACTAAATTAAAGAATACAAATGGGGGATAGGGGATAACAGGATTAGGATTACTAAAATAATGAGCTTATAAGAAAAAGAGTTGTAGGGAGGGAGGATGAGAGAGCAAGGTAGGGGGGAGAGGGGTAGAAAGGAGATTTGAGATAGGGAAGAGGGAGAAAGATGATACTAGATGAAGAGGGAGGAAGAGATTACAAGGACTAAAGGAGGTGGGAGTTGCACCAAGAATTGACATTATAAGTACAAGCTAAGTAATACACACAATGTGTGCGAAATTTTAAAACTGTTGATTAGTTTAAGATTATTAGTAAATACAAATTTTTATAAAAAATAAAGATACAGTTGATAAAGTCGTGGATTACTTTTTTATTGAGTAATTTAAAAAACAGATGATAAATTGTACTCCGTATTATGTTGAAAAATAGGATAGGATGATAGGTTTTATTTATTTATTTATTTAAGGTGGTAATTTAGAATAGTGAAATTTATCACCCAAAAACCCTCTTTTCTTTATATATCATTATAGAACAACAAAGGTGATAATTTAGAATAGTGAAATGTATCATCCAAAACCTTTCTTTTCTTTATATATCATTATAGACCAATAAACTTAAAAAAAAAATGAGAGAGAATGATATATAAAAGGAAAAACACTCCTATGATCATCTTAAAGATAATTTTTCATAGAAAACATTGAGTGTTTTTACTAAAGGCATTATTAGAGTATGATTTGTTTCATGGAAAAACATACTTCCTCCATTTCTATTTAGTTAGTTTACAAGTTTAATTTAGGCATATATATTAAGGAGAAGAGAGAGAATGATAAAGTAAGTGGGGTACACTAATAAATATAAGGTATAAAACTTACCCAAAAAGGAAACGTGTCAACTAAAAATAAACTTCCTAAAAAAGAATACATGTCAACTAAAAAAACGGAAGTAAGCATTAAGTAATTTATGTGATACCAAAACCATAAAAAGCAAGTTAAAAGGGGGTAAGGGGAAGGAAAAGGATCAAATTTTATAAAGGTTTTTTTGAAAATGGCTAAATTATAAACAAGTGAAAAGGTAAGGGAGAAAGAAGACGAGGAAATAAATGCGAGATAATGTGGGTTTAGAGGTTAATCTAT